ATTATATATATGCAAAAATTCATTTACACTATACTCTATCCTTACTTTGATCGACTATCCTTAAAACATTGTAATACATATTATAAAGATAAACGATATATGAGTGTATACAAGTATACGAGAAGACTTCAGATAGCTTCAGTTATTGTAGGCTTCTTCCGCACAAACAGCTCTGCTCGAGTTTCAGGATATTTGCTAGTCGAGCAGGCGCCACTCGAATCACTTTTACTTGTGTTTTGTTTACCCTGGCGACAACATCAACACGTATCCGTGTCTATTACGGGGCCCGAGATGGAGGCGGAGGTGGTGGCAGTGCTGCAACTTTTGCGTCATATCTTAATGCACAATCGTCGCTTAAGTGCACGTAAATTGAATAAAATTTCGACAAGTTTTAATACACAAAATGTGCATGGTGCAAACGCAGACAATGACAGCCTGCTGAATGTGAATACGAATGCGAATGCGAATGCGAATGCGGATTCGACTACGACTACGGATATATGTATGTACGTGTCTAGTTCGATAGACATACTACAAAGCTTCGCTACATATGTAGTAAGCATGTCCGTCTGGGCTTATATATATATTTGCTGTATTTGGAATGCTGGCAGCTTGTTTGGCTAAGATTTACGCAACTTGGAACAGATTCGCATTGGGCATTGTGGGTGTCATCACCTAAATTTTGTAGGCTTCCAGCTGTACGATTTTCCATGATGTTCCGCCTGCTGTTGCTGTGGCTGTAGCTGTTGCTATGTAAAAGTTAATTTGCAAAATCGTTTTAACAGATGTTATCCTCAAGGAAATTAAATGTTATTTCATTTACCAGCTAAAAATGTATAACTTGCTGTTGATTTATATGCTAAACGTATGTAAATATGTACGGCAAATACATTTATATAGTGCATGTACGTGTGTGTACACGTCTATGTCGTTTGTGGTTGCACATATTTTCAATTAATATGAAAATTTATGATGCGCCTTTGTTGAGCGCATCGGAAGTTCATTTTCCATGATACAAACAATATATTTATCAAATTGAGTACCGATTGCCTTTATTGACCTTCGGCAAGTGATTGAAAACCAGAAAAAAATATTATTCCATTTGCATTTCGTTAACTTAAAATATGCAAATTCCAAAAGGAGAAAAAAAAAAAACCGAAAATGTTGAAATCCGTTTAAAATGCG